ACATGCAACTGATTAGATTTCTAGGACTATATAGGAGACAGGAGTTTCCGAAATTGTTGAATAGAACAGCACAGCGTAGAAAGCCGCCCAACACCGACACCATTATCCCGTAAAATCTCTCAAAATGTCACCAAACAGCTTTGTTAAAAGGTTTTTTCTCATACCTTGTTGGATAAAATCTGGACGGACCCCTAAATGGACTTGAAAGGCTTCAAAGCGAATTTGCTTTTGTGGCACAGCAAACGAAATTAACACCTTTAAAACAATTTTTAACTAGTGCAAATTAACATTTGACAAAGTGCTACGAAAACGTCCTGAAATGCTATCTTGGTAATTACTTTTCCCGGAAAGGCCTTTCATTGTGCATTGACATTTGCAAAAGATCTATTACCACTAAGGCAAGAGGCTTATCCGTACCAAATCTGTGGAACCGTCTCTGTTTAGTGGCTTTTAATGGCCAAAGTAGATCCCTTATATTGTTATCAGTTCTGAAATATCTTATGCAGACAATTAAAGAAACACTGAAAATTTTAACTGGCAAATCTGTTCAAGTTCTACATTGAGATTTTGACAAATGCAGATAACCAAGCGGAGACTGATGAAAGTATTACTTATAGCTTTTATTTGAAGGGTTATACGCATGCGCTAGAATTATTTTCAATCTCCTTAATGAAGTTGCTCAGTTCTAACGTCTCACTTCTGTCACTTTCGTCGTGCCGAACTCAATTGTATTTTAAAACAGTTGAGGACGACTGGAGGTCAATAGTTGATTCAAATGTCGCGTAATTAAACAACAACCGTGGATCAATAGTTGATCAAACGTCGCTCTCGGATCGAACTCCGTTGTGATTCAGTTCTCTCTGGCTCTTCTTTCGAAAGTAACTCAGTGGTACTTGTATTTCAGCTCTACTCTCTATTAGAAGCACTGCATTCTGATAGGTGAAAAATCTAACAGGAAGATCACACATATACAGTGACTGAAGTCGGCACAAGTGTCTTTAGACGTTCGAATCAAAGTCCCGGCAAACTCGGGTGGCGCGACTGATCTTGTCGTGCTACCCGACTCTGGCCCGACGTTGATTAATCGACGGAAAGTCTCTTGAAAACATGTCTATCATATTTAAATTATCTTTCACTGCTTGTCCAGTTAAGTAATGAGGTAAACCTTAAGCCTGGTTTTCACTAGCGACACAAGTGCAAGCACAAACGCGAGCACAAACGCAAGCAATAGGGATGACCCAAGTGAAAACGAAATTCGAAGCAAACACAAGCACAAGCAAAATCATTCGAACCGAACTCTCCGGCATTTTAGAAAACTGTTTAGGCGCGAGGTGATCTGGGTCCAGTGATTTCATTGGCCAAACACAACCACGTGTGGTAAATATCCTTGTGCTTGTGTTATGCCTGAGTGGTATTTCGTTTTCGCTTGTTGCAGCGCAAACGCACTGAAGCATAAGCGCAAGCACAAGAGAAAGGAAAATTTTGATCCTTGTGCTTGTGCTTGTGCTTGTGCTTATGCCTGCGTCAAGGCCGTTTTCACGGTGAAATAAGAATTACTATGTTTGTGCTTGTGCTTGCGTCGCTAGTGAGAACCAGGCTTAACACTGCACGTGTGAAGGTTTTTATTAACACCGTTTTGTTTTGTTACGGCTTATACGATGTCCAATCCCTTCGACTCAAGTGCCAAGCCTCGAACTACTCGACTCTAGAACTTTTAAGACAATTCAGTAACGCGTTACCGGTTTCGACGCTAACTGGCTCTAAATCCCATATCAGTCTTACACAAGTCGTCACTAGTTTTTATTTCGAAAAGTTAACATTGATGAAATTATCAGTAAATGGACACCGAAATGAGAAAGGTATACGATAGGTTTCGAATGGTGGCGAAAATTTTAGTTTTATGTCCATTTCAAATTATGGCCTTTTTTCGCAACTAATAAAATGAAACAGATTTGAACTGACATTAACAATAGTCTCAGGTCAACCAGCGGCTTTTGCTGACCGAGTAGCTACAGCTACCTGCTTCCCTGACTTACGAATCGGCACAAAATCGTTCCTGAACAAAACTTCTAAACCTAAATAATTTGAAAATCCATTCATTTATTCGTGTTTTACTCCCAAACAGTAAATCTTTGCTTTTAAACTGTAGGTTTAGTTGCTTTAGAAATTGCTGTCAATAGAACTTTTTTCAAACGAGTCTTCGTGCAAAACTTTTCATATAAAAATGTGTTCCGCGTGGGGGTTTATTTTCATTTAAATCAAACTCAGTTTCATATGCACGAGGACTCGTTTTAACACAGAGTTACAAAGTAGCTCAGAAATGGTTTATTGGACTAATCTTTTTTCTTGCCGTCTCGCTAGTTCATGAACCGGCAGAGTGAACAGCACAGGGGTCTGGAGCCGAGCATTCGGCCAGAAGGTGATTGCGTGGGAAAGAACTAATACTCTCGATGGAAATACAATAAGCTACAATTCAGAAATTCGATTACTTAAAACCATTATTAAAAATTTACATTTGAAAATATCAGATAAAGGGCGCTAGAGGCATACAACCCACATAATTTTTCAGCAAAAATATTAAGCCTTTTTTGAAAGCCGTTTTCCTTTCCTGGTACCGCTAAAACGACTCATTTCAGACATTAAATTTGTGAACTGCAATGAAATATGGATAAATATTGAACTTCGGCAGGTTTTTTTCGGGTAATTTTTTTTGCGGTGAGACCCAGAAAATAAAATAGTTTATAATGACGAACAAATTGAAAACAGCTGCATGTTTTCCGGAAGATATTTCTCAGTTATCACGGACTATGATGGATGCGACGTTGGGTTGCTATTTTCGTTTTAGCAATTTCGCCAGACAAATTAAAACCTAAAATGTACCTTTCTTCCTGATGTTTTTGCGAAGGATAAATCAAAATTAAATCCTGCTTTAAATTAACTGGACTGAAGCAAATTAACATGTGAAACAAAACCTCGAATTTTCGCAAAATATTTCATTTGCAAATTGGAAGGCACTAGTCTTTCTATGGGACAAGCGCTCTGTAAATCCCCTCAATTACTTTAGAGTGCTTTGTTTTTGAATCGTGAATAAGATCTTTTTGCATTGATACAAATTAAACTAAACTTGTAAATGTTATCGAGCAGTGTTTCACAATGACAGTATTTTTCTCTTTTAATCCTACGTGTGATGGGCAGATATCACTAAAGAACCGAAAATCATGATTGGTGTTGGCACCAATCGATTAACAGGGTTTTCGCGGTTTCTACCTTTTATCGGTAAGTGAAGAAAAAACAGTGTCTTTTTAAGACCTCTTTAAAACCTGAGTAAAAATGCTTGGTAATCTTCTTTGTGTCGGCTTCGTTTTCGTGCGCCACATCGGCGAGTATAATTTCCTGGATAATATAATACCGCCCAATGGCGGTTTCCATGAGTCCGGCCGCAGATGGTGACTAATAAAACAGAATACTATTGTGTTCATGCTGTGCATGTTTTGTTAAGATAACATTAAGCGATGGTGGATTAGTCGAATGCAAATCAAGAAATTCTGGATTGCCAAGAGATAAGCTAACGAGTTGATACCAGAAAAGCATTAGCAGTGCATACGGTGAAAGACACGAAACAAGCACTGATAACCGACCTCAACACAAGCCAGGCACGGAGATTTTGATTTAAGGTAACATAAATTTAAAAGCGTGACAATTCCTCTCAAGAAACGCTCGTTTTCCCAATTAAAGTTGAAGCTCATATTTTCAAAATTACTCAGTAATAATTTGCAAACTCAAAGGTTTTGTGACTAGCTATTTTTAACCGAAAGAATCGTAATTTCAATTCACGGGTTACGGTTTTTAATTTTTACCAATTGATTAACCTCTTGCCGTTGTTAATTTAGGAAATAAATTGAAGGTGATAAGCAAACACTGGAATCAAGATTCGTTCTCGGATTGAGTTTTCAGGTGTTAAGATTTTATTTTTTTTTACTTGTTATCTCGATATCATCCTCGCTTGCGTTCCGCTGCGGAAAATTTAAGTTAACTTGGTACAGTGGAACCCTGTTTTAACCCGGTCACAAATCTTATCGTATTAAAAGGGTTCTTCAAATAAGAAAATTACAGACTGAGCATTTTTTCTTCGGGCCAGAATAACGTGGCTGTAATAACGAGGAAGCCGTGTGAACGAGGTGGCCGTAAGGCGGGGTCTCACTCTATTCGGATCTCCCTATGAACATCATCCTAAAAAACTGACCAACTGACTAGTTAGATAAAAATTCATCCTTACACACGAGGCCTCAAGGGATGGAGGGAGCCGGGTAAAACTACATGTATTTAAGAAATTTGAATATTCGCTTAGCTTAAAGAAGGTTGAACAGAACGCGACGATTTTTTTGAGAGTCGAAAGCTCATGCTAATCTCCACAAAAAACGTGTTCATTCAAATTTCACGAAAGCAGACGAGAGAAGCGAATAAAGAAAATCGTCGACAAGGGTAGATTGCATCGATGCAACACCAAATTCTCACAATTCTCATTAAAAGAAATGTACGAAAATCAGTAATGAGAATTGATCTTAATCGTGGATCCTTAAACGTATTATTCATATTTTCCGGACGAAAAACCTCTTTTGTATTCTCAGCGACACTTGTCTAAGCCGCCATTGTTTTAGCTTTATGCTGCCTGCAATTACAGAAATGTATGTTTGTTGACATGGCTTTATTTACGTGAAGCAAAGGAGCTCAGTATCAGTTTATTATTGTCTATTTCGTTGGCAAACGACCTCGACTGTACTGCATGCGACATCATCCAGTTATTCAAACCATATCGAGACAACAGCGGTAAGTTACGCGCAAGCGAGTGGATACCAAATTTCGTAGTAAATAACTCAAATGCTTCCTTAGCTCCAATCACTTAGCGGAAATTTCATGCTAGCTCATATCATATAAAGTATGGAAACGAGTTGAATTATGTTGTTTTAGTCCCACAGGGACGAGAAAAAGTTGGTTAGGCCTTAAATAGTTGCGAGCAAGATTTCGAGTTACCTGTTAGACTGTTAGATTGAGACGCAATTTTCTGTTGTCTCTAATTCCCATCCACACCATCTTTACACCTTCGATATATTACAATAAGGCATTCAACAATGCTGTCAAGTTAAATGCTTCATATTTGACGTAGATTTATTGCTATTTAGAAGAAGTGTTAACTACAGTTTGTTCGAAACAACCAAAAACAATTTAAAACAAGCAAGCAAGCAAAGATCAAGAAAAATCCGTCACTGTTTGCTATTTTAATTTAGCCTAAATAAAACAGTCTAAAGGTAGACCTCCTTACCGCGCAGAGTCAGAGTGGTTTGAAAGTCGTAAGAAATCCTTGTAATAAAGAAGCTGTGTGCTTCGTTCATGGCGCTGTAAAGTTAGCTAGTACACTGCTGCTTCACAACGAATGAGGCCTCAATGGGACTATCAGCTTTAACGCTTCAAAGCGATGCCTCAGTGTGTCAGATCTTTTAATAGGTTTTATCTTTGGTAGTTTGTAGTGCTGGATATGTAATTAGTTAAGATCTCGTATCGGTGTAAACGGTAATTTGCAAGTGTTAAGCTGTAAATGGCTAAGTCTTTATGTTGATTAGGCATGTTGTCTTTGGTGGTCAGGCCAATGAAATACACTTTAACCTTCCTTCTAGATCTTTCAGGTTTCACTTGCACGAAAATTCGTCTGAGAAGGAGATGTTCAACAACACAAACGGAACAGAACGTCAAGGACTTTCTCCAGTCAACACTATCAGCACCAACACTCAAGCAATAGCTGAACTAGTTCCTGTTGCATTACTGATCATCCTTGCCAATGGGTTGGTGTTGGTTTTATTCTCGAAAAGAACACAACTCCGTACACCAGCAAATTACGTGCTTTTCAGTTTGGCAGCTTGTGACTTCATCACCGGAGTCATCAATATTCCCTTGTTCATCGTAACTGCATTCACACCGGCCATCACTTCGTTCAAGGTTCGATATTATATGACTGTTCTGGTGAGCGTGCTAAACAATTTTACAGCCATATTAGCTTGCTATCACATACTCGCTGCCACTACAGAGAAATATCTGTCGATAATCTGGCCAGTAACGCATCGCTCGATGACGAGAAAAACCGTTTTTAAAGTGCTTCAAGTTGTTTGGGTAGTGTCTTTCATTGTGGCTTTCATTCCCTTTGCCTGGGTCAACATAGAGGATAAAGAAACGCAAGAGAAATTAACACTAGGCCATGTCATATTCTGTCTCGTGGCAGTCTTCCTGTTGCCGTATGCATTCATGATCTATGCTTTTGTGGTTATTTTCAAATCTATTGCCAAAAGGGGCAAAGCGAAAGAAAACACTTCCTCACGGACCTCGCAGCTCAGTCGACAAGCCGCTCTCGAAAAAAGATGCTTGATTTTGTTCGCTTCCATGGCAACAGTCTTCCTTGTATGTTGGTTGCCATGGTTTATTTTGATGTTGTTGTTCAAAGTAAAAGACAATGTTAAAGAGCTGGAAATCCCTGCTCACGCGTTTGTCCTCGTTAGGTATACTACCTCTATCATAAATCCTGTTCTGTATACTTTCTTTAGGCGTGATTTTAAAACAACTCTAAAATCCTTGTTTCAAAACAAGAGATCACGATACTTTTCTTCGTCATTGTTTTTAGAGGACAGTAAAGTCAATGAACCAAGGGTAAAACTGACTGAAAAAATGGCTGAAGATGTTGTCTAGGACCCAAGTTCAGTCAGTGACGATCCTTTCAATTTGAATAATGAAATTGAGTTAAGTTTTAATGGAAAAATGTTTTAATAGAAACAGTTCTTTCAAGTCTAAAGTAAATGTATGATGTACCGTGTCTGTTTGTTGATGAATTACGTGTGTTTATAAAAAATTGTAAGTAACTTCAAATCAATGAAAATTAATAAACTAAAAAAAAAATTTAAGGTCCTGCGGGGACTCCCACTAGAACTCCCACTGTATCAAAAGGACAAGGTCGGGGGTGCTCGTCGAAAATTTTGAAAAGATAATCTCTGCTATGTTGCGCTACGTTGTGCTGTTCTCTGCTACTAGTTTTTAGGTTGGGTTATAGAGTGCCATTGTGTGTCATGCTGAAATAATTTCTTCTATTCTCTGCTATGTTGCACTACGTTGGGCTGATTCTGCTACTAGTTTTTGGGTTGGGTTATAGAGTGCCATTGTGTGTCATGCTGAAATAATTTCTTCTATTCTCTGCTGTGTTGCGCTACGTTGGGCTGATTCTGCTACTGGGTTTTGGGTCGGGTTATAGAGTGCCATTGTCTGTCATGCTGAAATAATTTCTTCTATTCTCTGCTATGTTGCGCTACGTTGGGCTGATTCTGCTGCTAGTTTTTGGGTTGGGTTATAGAGTGTTATGGTGTTTCATACTGAAATATTTTGTTCTATTCTCTGCTATGTTGCGCTAAGTTGTGCTGATTTGTATCAATAGTTTTTAGGTTGGGTTAAAGAATGCCATAGTGTTTCACGGTGAATTATTCTGTTCTATTCTCTGCTATGCTGCGCTACGTAAGGCTGTTTTCTGCCACTAGCTTTTAGGTTGGGTTATATAGTGCCATGGTGTGTCATAGTAAAATATTTTGCCATTTTCTCTGCTATATTGGGTTACGTTGTGCTGTTTTCTGCTACTAGTTTTTAGGTTGGGTTACAGAGTGCTATGTTGTGTCATGCTGTAATATTTTCTCATTTTCTCTGCTATGTTGCGCTGCGTTGTGCTGTTTTGTACTAACACTTTTTAGGTTGGGTTTTAGAGTGCCATGGTGTGCCATGCTATTTTACGGCCAGCACGCTCGAAACCAAGCGTGCAATTATTTTTACCCTGTCGATTTCACTGAAAAGCAAGGTCATCACCAGATAGTTTAGAGTCCTCGGAACTGGGAAATATCGCCCAATTTCTTGGAAAGCAAGATTAAGGTGGCCAAAATCAGGCTGCGCTTAGGCCGGTCCCGGCTACTTTTTCAGTGTTTAAATTAAGTGGGGCTATATATCGGCCAGCGAGCTCGAAACCGAGCGTGCAATTATTTTTTCCCCAGTGGATTTTACCAAAAACCAAGGTCATTACAAGTTAGTGTGCTGTTTTCTAGTGATAGTTTTAAGGCTGGGTTATAGAGTTCCATGGTGTGTCATGCTGAAATATTTTGCCCTATTCTCTGCTATATTTTACTACGTTAGGCTGTTTTCTGCCACTAGCTTTTAGGTTGGGCTTAAGAGTGTCATGGTAAGTCGTTCTGTAATATTTTGCCATATTCTCTGCTATAATGCGCTAAGTAGTGTTGTTTTCTGATTCTCAATGTTAGCATAGGTTAAAGTGTACCCTGGTGTCTCATGCTGAAATATTTTGCCATATTCCCTGCTATATTTTACTACGTTAAGCTGTTTTCTGGCACTAGATTTTAGGTTTGGTTTAAGAGTGTCATGGTAAGTCGTGCTGTAAGATTTTGCCATATTCTCTGCTATAGTGCGCTACGTAGTGCTGTTTTCTGATTCTCAATGTGAGGTTAGGT